GTGTGCATATGTGATGTCTGATGCAATGTGTAAAGTAGCATGTAGACTGCAAAATAAGTTAGTATTCATTAATAGTATGTAGATTAAAGTATGTAGTGTGCAGTATGTAGTGCACATGTTAATAGTGCGCATATATGTGATGTCTGATGCAGTGTGTAGAGTAGCAAATACACTACAAAATATGGTAACATATTCTACAAAAACTTTGTAGAATAAAGTATGTAGTATGTAGTGTGCAGTATGTAGAGCACATGTTAGTAGTGTGCATATGTAATAAAGTGTAATGATGCCATGAGTAGAGTAGCATGTAGACTGCAAAATAAGTTAGTATTTATAAATGGTGTGTAGAATGAAGTATGTAGTATGCATTATCAAGAGTACATTATAATAGTGTGCATATGGGATGTCTAATATAATTTGTAGAGCTTCATGTACACGCAAAATAAGTTCATATTTATAAACTTTGTACAATGATGTAGTATGTAGTGTGCAGTATGCAGAGCACGTTAATAATGTACATGTGATGTCTGATGCAACCTGTACATATGTGATAGTGTCTGGGGCGATGTGTAGAGTAGCATGTAGACTCCAAAATTAGTTAATATTAATAAACTTTGTAGAATGTAGTATGCAGTATGTAGAGCACAGGATAGCATTGTACATAAGTGATTTAGTTTAATGATGTAATGTATAGAGTAGTATGTAGACTGAAACTTAAGTTAGCATTTAAAAACGGTGTATAGATTGTAGTATGTAGTGTGCAGTACATAGAGCACATGTTTATAGTGTGCATATGTGATGTCTGATGCAATGTGTAGAAAAGCATGTAGACTGCAACATAAGTTAGTAATCAAAAGTACGTAGAGCACATGATAGTAGTGTACATATGTGACAGTACTGAGGAATGTGATGGATTGTAGAATGTAGTATTCATAAATGTATGTAAAGTATGCGACGAGTACAATATATCTTTGAGTATTGTAGTGTAAAGCCTTTTCATTGCAAACTAAATGTTCATAAATGGTGTGTAGAAAAAAGTTTCATAGTATGTAGTGTGCATTACGTAAATGTAGTGTGCATTAAGGATGTGAAGTAGCAATCTTCTATATATGTAGCATGCAGCATGTAGTATGCACTGTTAAACAGATTTAAGGGGGTAATAAATCCACAGGCATGAAAAAAAAATCCCATGTTCATTTAACTGAGCTGTATAACCTTTTTGGTGTGTAGTTTTTAGTATGCAGTAATTAGTATGAAGCACTTAGAATGTAGTATGTAAGTGTAGTATGTGGTGCTAAACATGTATTGATGTAGAATGCTTTGAGTGTTTAGTGTGCTTCAGTTTAGTATGCAACATGTACAAATCAGTATGCAGTATTGAGGTGTAGTATGCAGTAATTTGTATGTATCGATGTAGAATGCAGTTAGTATGCTTCAGTTTAGTATGCATTTAGTAAGCAGCATACAGAATGCAGTATGTAGTGTATATTGGTATAGCATGCAATATTTCATATGGATGTAGAATGCAGTGTTTAGAATGCAGTGTTTAGTATGCATTTAGTAAACAGCATACAGAATGCAGTATGTAGTGTATATTGGTAACACATGCATTATTTCATATGGATGTAGAATGCAGTGTTTAGTATGCAGTGTGTAGGTATAATATGCAGTATTTTGTATGTATTGATGCAGAATGCAGTGTTTAGTATGCAGCGTGTAGAATGCAGTATGTATATGGATATTCAGATTCTCCAACATTAGCGCTCCTGTGAGGACCAATCAGCATCAAATACACACCTTATTTGGGCCGCGTTCCCAACTCAACCCATATACTTAACCTTTTTAACCTGTTAACTAACCACCCGTCTCTACGGAAACTGTGAAGTTGAGTGATAAAACCACCGTAAAGTGCTGACAAGATCTCGTAGCCAGGGACAAACAGGAGAGATGATTTACAACACCCCCCTCATTTTATTCCCTGACATAAGGAAAATGTTTCCTTTAGAGAAGCGCTTTACGATAATTATTTATGAGCTCATATTCCGAGCATTAATTCAGAGGGCTGTGCCGAAGCATTTTTATGGAGTTTAAAGTGTGCAGTGTGTAGAATGCTGTATAACATTAAGTACACAGTATGCAAAATATAATATACTGTGCCATCTATGATTCATAACACACATATCTGAGTACAGCTTACTGTGTATACTGCAGAAAGAGCTAATATTCATAAATGTGTAGAATTAAGTATGTAGTGTGCAGTATGTAGAACATAGGTTAGTATGCACTGCGCAATATGTAGATTTATATTGTATATTACTATAGTGTGTAGTGTACGTGTAAACTGTATACTACACACTCTTTATGAATACTAACTTATTTTGCAGTTAGTATTCATAGAAAGTGTGCAGTATACAGTATGTAGTGTGCAGTATATAGTACAGCGTATATTATACAGTGTGTAGCATGCAGCAATGTAGAATCTAGCACTTAGTGTGTATCATCCATGTAAACTTTCAGTGAGTGAAGTGTGTAGTATCTATTGTGTAGTACACTATGCAGTGTGTTGTTGTATGCAGCAATGTAGTATGCAGTGTTTAATATACATTTTGTACTGTAGTATCAAGTGTGTTGTATGTAGAGGGGTCTAAAGATAGTAAGGCCCCATCTGATTAGTCAAATTTAGATTAACAACTGATCAATATAATAAATGTAATTTATCATACGTCTGCGATATGTATATAGCTATTATCACGATAATGATATCATTACTATTATCACGATAATGATATCATTACTATCATCAAAATACTGATATTATTACTATTATCACGATAATGATATCATTGCTATTATCACGATAATAATATTATTATTATTATCACGATAATGATATCATTGCTATTATCACGATAATATTATTATTATTATTATCACGATAATGATATCATTACTCTTATCGCGATAATTATATTATTACTATTATCACGTTAATGATATTATTACTATTATCACAATAATGATATTATTACTATTATCACGGTAATGATATTATTACTATTATCACGATAATGATACTATTACTATTATCACGATAATAATAATTGGCAATATTGTTCAAAATAAGATCACACATGAATGACTACATTTCTAAGTATATACATAAAAATGAAAAAGAAAAAAGTCCTTTACATGTTGACAATACATATAAACTATTAAGTGATTGTATTTACAGATATAGTAATATATCGCAATAAATATTGCTATCGTGATATTATATTGTAAGGCCCCATTTGATTGTTCAAATTTAGATAAACAATGCAAAAAAAATCAATGTTATTTATCATACGTCTGCGATATGAATATAGCCATTATCACAATAGTTATATTACTATTATCACTATAACAATAATTTAGCGATATATTTTATATATATTCAAAATATGCTCACACAAATGAGTATGAATATACTTTAAAATGTAAAAAACCTTTACATGTAGTAGTCCTTAACATGTAGACAATATTAAAACTATTAATTGATTGTATTTACACAAATGATAATATATCGTTATAGATATCATTATCACGATATGGTATTTGTCATATAAAAATAGTAAGGCCTCATCTGATTAATCAAATTTAGACAAACAACTGACTTATAAAATACATTATTTTATCATGTCTACAAGACATATATTAGTAATATCACGATAATATAATTTTGTAATATATTTAAAATATGATCAAATACGAACGAGTACATTTTAGATATATGCTTTAAAATGTAGAAAAAAAATAGTCTGTTGGACATGTGGG